AAGTTTAATATTTAAAAAACCAAATTAGATCCGGATTTGGATCTAAATCGAATCCTCATCAAATCCACTTGCACCTAGATGCGATCCAAATTTCAATTCAGATTTGACTTTTGGGTTGAACCCTGCATAAACTTTTTCCTTCAAAAATAGTGAATTAACTCTTATAAACCTAGAGAGACGGTGTATTTACATAAGATCATTGCCCCTTAAACCATACCTGGAATTATAGTCCAAAACTAAGACTTCGAGCCTTAACTTCATATCTTCAGACCTCAAAAGTGCATTGTAGGCGCATTTTGCAATAAAAGAAAAAAAAAAGCACAAAAAGGATATAAATGTAAAAAAAAAAAAACACAAAGGCAACAACGAGAAGTTGTTTAGATGCTTCCCCTTAAAAACAATAAATAATATAAGAATGACTCCATCCACTAGTGCTTGACTCTGGACTTTTTGAATTATTCCATTAATTAAATAGCATGTCTCTTTCTTGCCAGAATTTTTATGTGCATTTAAAAAAGGTAAAGGATATATAGCACCGAGGTTCTAAACAATCAAATTAGAGCCTACATCAAAACTTTTACTGGAAGAGGTTGTGTTAATGTTCAAATACCCTCAAATTGATCATCTCAACATCATGATGCATGGACATGAGAAAAAAATGAATTTTAAGTTTTGAAAATAGTGCATCTTGTGACGTATTTTTTGACCGTCACTTTTCAAGATTTTCAAGTTTTCATAGATGTGCTTGATTCACATTATTTTTTATGCTTTATATTTTATAACTACATATGAAAATATAATTTAAGGCTATTACATGACTTTCCAATATTGAAACTATATTTTTTTATACTATCTCAAGGTGGTCTCTAATTTGATTGTTTAGAATCTCTGCTCTATACAAACCGCACCCTTTAAAAAATAGATATGAGGGACATAGAAGCAAGTGCATATCACATGATGGTTGGTACAGATAAAGAAAATTATCTCTCTTATATAAGGTCAATGGCCATTAAATGTGAAATGGGAGAATCCAATGTCCCATTGTTCAAAGTTTAATAAATTTTTACTCAGACTTTGTGAGACATTCTAAATTACCCTATTATAAATTTTATGGGAACTTCTTTATGGATATAATAGAAGTTTTCGTGATCGAAAACGCATAGCTAGGCAGATTTTTTTGGGCTGTAATTATGAACATATTTTAAAATAAAATATAAATATTTTATAAAACAAAATGATTTTGATTTCTTGAAAGCCTAGGTCCACTAAATTAATAACCTATGTTCAGAAAATAAAATTTTCCTCCATTAAGTTACCTCATCGCAGATATTATCACAGCAGGCTACCTCTCAAATCAGATATAAAATATTTTCCACCACATTTACTCAATACAAGTAACTGATAACCTTTCAAATGTCATAGCCATACATACTGTTAAAGAGAAACATGTAGAATCACTTTTTAAGGACAAATTTTGTACTACTAATTTGTATATCAAAATGAAATGAACTAAAAAGTATTCTATAATTGGAATTTATTATTATTATTATTTTTCCAATTCACAATCCATTTTTAGACTATTCTTTGTAACCTTCATCTTTTATCTTTCATTGGGCTTAAGGGAGATACATTACCTGCAATGTCAAGCCCAATCATATCATTGGATCCTATAAAATTTACCGACAAACAACACCGACAAAACTAATCAAATATTTACCACATCCCTCTTAAAAAGATAACCATTACCAAGCCCTCCTAAAAAGATAACTATTACCAAGCCCTCCTAATAGATAACTATTACCAAGCCCTCCTAATAGAATCGATACCTTATTTTTCCCTAATAGATAACTACTCAAAAATATTATCTAAAAGAAATCATCCTAAAAGCCTTAACTGTATCTAATGCTTAGATGAACTTATCTATCACTTAACGAAAGTATGACTTGCTAATACTTACTAAAAAATGACGGACTTGTTTATCATTTAAAAAAAATGAAGAAGTTACTAAAAAATATTAAAGAAGAAATGTAACCTTACCTCCTAAAGTAAATATAATTTTTTAAAATTAATCTAAAATCTACTCCCATCTCCAAAAAAATAAAAATATAAAAAATAAAATTAGATTTTGAATCAACTCATTTTTTAACTGCATCAATCCCCCAAATGTACATTATTATGTGTTGGATCAGGCTTTAATAAGGAAAATAATAATCACATTAGAATATCAAAACACTATGTGTTTACAACGATTTCGAGAATGGCGAGCTTCCCAACCCTTATCTTACTTGGTCAATTCTGAGTTGGATCAGCAACTTTGGAAACACTGAACTCAATTTCAATGTATTTGTTTTAAGCATACAACTAATGCAACAGGTTCCTTGTAGCTTACGCGTCTTATTTTCAGTCCCAATATATATAGGTATATGTACAAACATCTTTCATTAATTTTTTAAGTATTTAAATTACGCAATTTTCTCATAACGAGTATCCAAGCACATAGAGGTAGGGTGGCAATGGACCGGGACTCGGCCCAGGATCCATCAAATATACCCGAATGGATCTAGGTGTGGGTCCAACATTTGGACACGGCGGGTCGGGTCAGGTCTAAAATCTAGACCCGAACACTACTTGGGTCCAGGTCTGGACTCCGTTGGACTCGACTCGTACCCATAAACTGTTGGAGATAAAATACTTCAAGCTCTATTTGTTTGGGTGTATTAAGAATCATATATAATAAGAATTCATAATCATATTTAGCTATTAAACAACAAATAAGGCGGATTGAAATCTAATAGCGAGTTGTGACCTTGTTGCAAATAATTTGAATATATGAAGATAAAAAAAAAAAAAAAAAAGTTCATAATGAAGGTGGCAATAGACTCAACCAGACTCGAAATATGACGGAAATGGATTTGGGTTCAACTTTTGAACCCAATAGGTCGTGTTCAAATCCAAAATCTGGATCCGAATATATTTGGGTCCGGGCCACCTGTTGGCACCCCTATAGAGGCATAAGGATCCTAGGCTTTTACTCCATGGTGGTCCTTTGTCATTTTAATGAACTTGTGGGCAGTATAGTAAAGTATGCCAAAAATACTGCAACTTGTTGCTTATGTACGACTCAACCCTCACCGTACATCCATAAATATCAGAGTAAAGAAGTACATATTATACCCGTCTTCACAACGTCTTTTACATTTAGTAACCATCTTTTACAGCTTTATTACATTTACAACTTTTCCAAGAATTCCTTTCTCTGTCAAACGCTCTTTTTTTTTTACCACGACCAGAAGGAATTTTACAGCTTTAATACATTTACAACTTTTCGAAGAATTCCTTTATCTGTCAAACGCGTTTTTTTTTTACCAAAACCAGAAGAAAAATTTCCGTGGAATTCTTCAAAAAATTATAAATTGAGGAAACTCTAGAACTATTAATGGAAGAAGAGATGAACCACTTTTAGCATTGTCGGTTTCCTTTCT